TCACAGAAGAAGCTAAATTTATCCCAATTATGATACATGAATATCTTCAAACATAACAATGTGTTAAGTCTGAACTCAGTAAACCAGCAAACAACAGAATTGATGTATAATTATAATTAATTAATTACAAAATACTATTCCAAATGGTACCAAAAACTGTATCTAAAAAAGGTTTGCTCATAAAACATCTAAAATATTTAAAATGTTTAAGAATGTTCAGTTCATACAGCCCTTGATATTAAAACCCGGTTTGTTTATGAAACAACATAAATATTAGAAGACAGTATTCATTAAACTATCTTGTTTCACCAATCAAGGTAATTGACATTTTCAGCAGATTTCCTTTGCACATGCTAACATTTCAATAATAGTTTATTTCCATGGAATTAATATGCAGTTTTATGATAGGAATACCTGCACAACATTCATTAAAATAAGTGAAGTGAACTAATACAATCATGTATCATTTAAATACCTGAATGTCAACAATCAAACTACAATGACATGAATATGAAATTTGATATTGTTGCTGTTCCTGACCAAAAGAAACCTAAACGAAATTGCTAAACCTGTGCAAAAGAAACAGAAACAATTGTTGACTTAAACTAAAATAACCCAATGCTGAGAGGTTTTCAATAAACTGTTCAAGCTCCGTATCAGATATGAGAAACAATTAAAACTAAAATCTTAAAACATCTCAACCCTTGCCATTATCATGTTGCCAAAAAACACCTCAAAGACAAACAAAGTTAACTTTTCAACATTGAACTCAAAAGTGCCCTCAGATATTGTTCAAGGTGTAAATAACATAAATGTAAATTTTTTTATCGTTCTAAATCTTTAAAGAATACAAAATTTTACTTTTTTTAAATAACTATCTAGCAATTTTATTATACATTAATCATTCTTCTAAGAAAGTTTAGTCTTTTAAGTTACTACTTTAATATTTGAAAATTATAGTAGGGTGAAATGTGAATGAAGGAGTATCACAGACAGTTTAATTATCACATGTCACAAGAGAACTGGTGTGTTAAAGAAGTGTTTATGATGGATAAAACTGATAGTATTAGTGTCAGAACCAAAACAGTGATCCCCTCAAGTATTACAGAGATGTGACGGACACGAAAACATGATCAAGGTGACCTTGACCTTTATCTCAAAGAATACAACCTTCAAAGTCTTGTTACAGCCGGTGCCCCATCATCTAGTTCAAACAAATTTGTACACAGTTAATTCATTTTGTACTTTACAGAGAACAGTACTAATTCTATAGCAGAAATGACACAGAGCATTTATCATTTATCTCAAACTAAAATTAATATTTTGTTTATTCTTCATAGATCTTAGCCCTGCATGCCTTCAAAATATTCTTTAACATATAACATTAGATAACATGACAATGTTTTATTAAATTACCTTAGTATATATATCATTCTATAAAATATGTGATATGTAATGACAAAGCGCTGACATGTCCAATGCGGTAATGCTAAAGCTTCTCATGTACTCCAAATTGCCAACAAATTTTCACCTCATTTTCAGTCATATGTATATACATGTATATTGTTTATATATAAATAAGCAACAAATTGTTATGCACTATAAAATGCTCTTCTTACATAAGATACCAACATGTGCTTGTGTTTTTCATAACCAGTAATTCAAAGGTGAAAAGAGCATGTGATATTAAGTACAGATATATCTACAATAGTTCCACATGTCTGATGCAGAAATGAATAAAATGCAAGTTTTAGAAACTGTGCATTTCAGTATCAAATAATTGCAATTTAAAAACAGTGGATTTCAATAAATTAAAATATAATATTCTAAAAAATTACTTAAAATCATAATTCTACAATTGTACACACCCTACTCTTATGAAATGCAATATTTAAGAAACTTTATAATTTAGACCATTATAGATGCAAGTGTTTTTCTTTATCAAATTTAATGCAATTCTAGAACTGTGTATTTCTATATCAAATATAAATGCAATTCTAGAACTGTGTATTTCTATATCAAATATAAATGTAATTCTAAAACTGTGTATTTCTATATCAAATATAATGCAATTCTAGAACTGTGTATTTCTATATAAAATATAATGCAATTCTAGAACTGTGTATTTCTATATCAAATGTAATGCAATTCTAGAACTGTGTATTTCTATATCAAATATAAATGCAATTCTAGAACTGTGTATTTCTATATCAAGTTTAATGCAATTCTAGACCTGTGTATTTCTATATAAAATATAAATGCAATTTTAGATTTGTGTATTTCTATATCATATAAAAAGCAATCAACGAAGCATATACTGTACCAATTTACTCTAAAACTACTGAGCATGTATTTCCTCAGAGGTTTTATGCCCTTAGAAATAAAAAATAAATGAATTAAAAATACATAAACACCAGTAAAGTGGTAAACATATCACCAGAGACGAAAAAAAAATTACTTCTATTGGTCATGGGTAACTTGATGAATTTGATCATTATATTATTTATTTGGTAGATGTCATGATGGAAACTATTTACACTCTAGAACTTTTTGATGATATAAAAATATGAACATCATTACTGCTATGATGATGTTGATGATGATGTGGATGATAAATAAACTGTTTGCTTTAAAGCAAAATATAAACATATTGCAATATTGTTTTAATCTAGGTTTAAACCAATAAAAGGACCAATGATAAGGTTTAATTGATAAATGACAAAAATAATGATGTAATTTAAATGATGATGAAAATTATAATGAAGAAAATGTTATAACAAAAATGATGACAGTGTTGGTGACATTGATGATAATATAATCACATTGATACAAATTATGTAGATGGTGATGACAATATATGATGAAGAAGATGTAAATAAAATAGATATGTAAAAGAGCTGATGGTGATGATAATACTAATGATGAAAACAATGTAATGATTGATGATAATGATAAATGATTTGGCATAATATAATAATTGTGATGGTGATGTAACAAAAATAAAAAAAATGATGATAAGATTATGATAAAGATGTTTAAAAGGTTCATCAATCAATGATGACTCAAAAAATAAAGTATCTGATAAGATAAAAGAAATTCTGTAAGTTCTATATAAGTTCTGAAAGTAAAGCAACATTATACATGTGTCATAAATAATTTAGCATCAATTAACATAAAACACATTTCAGGATTAGCCAGCTGAAAAAAAGAGAACATTTCTTATAAAACATAAAAACAGACAATAATAAACATGAAAGTTATGCTTAGAGCAAGTAGCTCTACAAACTGTTTTTGATACTACCTGTTCCTAATTGCTTATTAAATGAAGCATTTTCTTAGATGTTTTCTTCTCTAAAAGCTGTCTGGTATAAATAAGGCACTTTTTACATAATTAAGTTTTTTTTACTATAGTATTACAGTACAACCTGTGAAGAGCGGCCCTCTATAGGTCCATTTTCTTTCTATTAGTAAAAATTTACAATAAATTTAACATCCCTTAAGCAACAGCTCTTAGGAACAACCGAAATCTTAAAATCTTTGCATCTGAAAGGGTGTTGCCTTACAGCATCTCAAAGGGTGTTGCCTTACAGAGATTGTGCTTTATATATATAACACAAAGACGCAAATATTTCCATTGAATAATCTAACAGGACAATCCAAACCAAAATGTTGCTTTTGAGCTTGCCATTTTGTTCACATTGGACTGGCAATTACCCTATGTTGAAAGAAATAACAGTTGTATGTACAGTCAGTCCAGCTCATACATGTATAATTATAATTTTATTAATTATATATAACCTTTGAATGTTTGTTATAGTTTATAAACACATGCACCAATGGAATAAGCTTAAAGCTATTGAAATTTTAAGCCACACTGATCACAGTAATGTAGCCTGATCTTGGAGCACATTTGACTTTTATGTAAAATGAGTCAAGCATTTCTGCACATCCTTAACTCAGCATGGCATTGGTTAAGAGGAGATTTTAATTCTTGTTTTTTTTCTTTTCTCTCATGTTTTAAACATTCAAGTCATATTTCAATAATTATAGAATTGGTCACATTTTAAAATCTCAATATAAAGCTGACTATTAAAATTAACCATTTTTTCATGTAAAATAGTTCTATTATATACATCTCAAGAGAATTAAAGTTATGCGAAAAATCTTCAAACAATTTCTCATGTAAATTTAATTTAATATAGAGTAAAATAATTAAATTACTTATTTTTTGTCTTCCAGGAATTTTGAATGATTGTTTTGTTTAAATTATAGAAGTTTTATGAATAAGTTTGTTTTGTTCTCTTGACTTTTATTCAGTCACTCTGATATTGTGGCATCTGGCTATTTTCCAGCTTTTACTGGTGGAGGAAGAATGAAGAAGCATTATTTCAGGTACAAGATATTTCAGGTACAAGAAGTCACCTGAGTAGAACCACAATCAACTGATGCAAGCTTGATAGCTTTAAGTTTCTCACATAAAATATTTAAAGACTAATGGGTTCCCCACCAGCAGCAGGCCCTCAGTTGCAACTAAATGGTGCCTGAGTGAAATATATAGCAATGTACTAAGAATCAATATAACATTGACATGATCATTAAATGAAAATAATTGATTAAATTTTGTCACCTTAGTGCATTTATAACTGATTATCTGCTATTAAATTTAAAGGGAAATATTATGTAAATGCACTAAAGTGACAAAATAATCATTATATCATTTAAAAATATCTGATGATTTAAATGAACATTATGTAAATGAAGCTAATGGTAAATATACATGTACATTGTTTTTGTTTGTTTGTTTTACTAGTGGAGGAAGACCTCAGGTGCCCTTCCGTGCATTATTTCAGGCACAAACGGGCACCTGAGTAGAACCACCGACGTTCCGTAAGCTAGCTGGATAGCTTCCTCACATGAAAGAATCCACAGTCCCTGTCGGGATTCGAACCCACAGCGGTGAGGGGCAAGCGGTTTGAAGTCAACGACCTTAATCACTAATAATAATAATAATAATAATAATAATAATAATAATAAAGGCTTTATTTAACGAGGCTACATATTCGCCAAAACGATCTTCCATATGTACCTCAACATATTTACAACATATTTACATCAAATAATTATACAAAAGACAATGTAATATTATAAAACATGGTATTAACTAGTTATAAATGCAATGACAAACTAAACATAAATATTAACCATTAACAATGAAAACTGCAGTAAACATAATTATACAAACATAATACTATGGTATTGGTTTAACCAGAGTACTTCCACTTTATGTAAGCTTTTTTGAATTTTTCAGTACTTTCAGACTGACGTACATAAAGTGGTATATTATTCCAGATTTTAGTTCCAGAATAAGAAAGTGATTTACGGTAAAACTCAAGATTAGGTTTAGGGACATGTAGATTAAGATTGTTTGTTGATCTAAGATTTCTGTTATGTAAAGTTGAGATAAAATGAAATTTTTCTTTCATGTAGCATGGTGAGTTTTCTTCATGTAATGATTTGTATATCAGGATTGCCTTTTTGTACTCAACCCTGTCATTAAATTTCATCCATCTTAATTCTTTGAAAAGAGGTTCAGATGGTGCATCTGCAGCTTTATCTAGGATAATGCGAGCTGCTCGTTTTTGAAATTTTAGTATTCTCTCAAGAAGTTCTTTTGAGCAATTTCCCCAAATTGAACAGCAATAGTCTATATGAGGTAATATATAGGCATTATAGAAAAGTTTCCTGGCATGTAAATTGAGATATTGTTTTAACCTTAAAAGAAGATAGAGATTACTATTGCATTTCTTTATTGTTTGTTCTACTTGAAGTTTCCACGTTAGGCAATTGTCAACTTGTACTCCAAGAAGCTTTTCAGATTCAGTGAACTCAATATTATTGTTAAATAATTGAAGTGGTGTACTTGTTGATGCATGAATGTAATGTTGGGTCTTTTTTGAGGCTGATATGTACATAGCTTTAGTTTTGTCTGTATTAGGTATCATAGCACTGTGAGTGCACCATTCTTGAATAGAGTGTAGGTCTTTTTGAAGTTTTACATTTAAAGTTTCAGTGGAACGTCCTGTAGCACTTATTGTAGCATCATCTGCAAACATATCCATTTCTGAGTGTTCAAGATGTAAAGGTAAATCATTTATATAGATCAAGAATAAAATGGGCCCTAAGACAGATCCTTGAGGGACTCCAGCTGATACACCCAAAGACTCAGATGTGGTGCCTGACACAGATACCTTCTGAGATCTTTCTGTTAGGTATGATTGGATCCACTGTAATGTATGATCTGAGATGTTATAACAACTAAGTTTTTCAATGAGTAGTGTATGGTTAACTAGATCAAATGCTTTTGTTAGGTCAAGAAATATGGTTCCTACAAGATTGTTGTTATTGATTTGATCAATCCAGTTGTCTACTATGGATGTTAGACCAGTTTCACAAGAGTGACTTGTTCTAATCATATTTTGTTCTAAACCTAGATTGTTTTTGATCTTCAAGAAATTGTTTGAGACTATCAGATACATGCTTTTCAATGATTTTTGATAAAACAGGTAAAACAGAGATTGATCTATAGTTATTTTTATCAAATTTAGACCCTTTTTTGTAGATTGGAATTACTTTAGCCATTTTAAATGCGGTAGGAAATTTACCTGTATCAATACTTAGGTTAATTATTTTAACCAAATGGCTTGAGATAACATGGCAGCTTAGTTTTAAGAAACGAGCACTTATTTGGTCAAGGCCAGTTGCTTTGCTACAGTCTAGAGTTTCAAGCACGTTCCTCACAAATTTTAAATTTTTTAATCACTCGGCCACGGACGCCCAACAATGTAAGTGAACGACCAGTAAACCTATAACTGATGTGGTGTTATCAAATGTCTTAACAACCACTTTATATCAATCACTGTATGTTAATTTAATATTGATCAAACTCAGTCATAAAATTAAAAGATAATTATGAATTATAGCAATTAAAAATGAGTTGAAATTTTACTCCTAATTCAGCTGAAGAGCGATCAGTGATCTTATGTGTCGCCTCATGATGGCCAATTTCATGTTGTGTAGTAGTTTTGTGACAGACGGACAGACAGACAGACAGTGCACAACTAGACTTGCTACTGATCATTCCTGTAAAGTTTGGATGGAATTGCACCAGTAGTTTATGAGGAGTAGTCCGGACAAGTTTTGTGATGGACAGACAGACGGACGGACGTTCTCACAGGACAGTAATTATGTGGCTACTCTATTGTTCTCTCTATTGTTCTTTTAAGCCACACAAAAGAAAATAGCCACATAAAAGCATTATGGAATGAATGACATCAAAGAGAAAGAACAGTTACCTATTGTCCCTCTAGCCACATAATTACTCTCCTGTGAGTGCGGATAGACAGACAGACAGACAGACGACGGAGAAGTGATCCCTATATGTCGCCACTACTCCGTAGAGGCGACACAAAAATGGCCCTGTCCATTTTTGGAACTATCTTGCTCACAGTAAATTACAGTCCATAATCAAAGTGAAAATTTTAAGTTGATCAGCAAAAGGTATATAAAGCCTAATCAGAATGGGTGTTGGTTTAACTGGCAAGTGGCTCATAATTATTATACTGGTAGAAACTACTACCTGGAGCAGAGTGAAGGCTAGAAGCATTTTAAAATGATCAATCATAGTTGTTATATTGGCTGATAGCATTTTTATGTAATAGTAAATGGTTCAATAATTTTTGAGAGGCAAATAATTAAAAGTTATGAGCCTAAGGAGAAAGCCTGTGCATTATAACAACACTTGTTCAGTTTTGGCTCACAGACAATTCCCATAGCTGCAGTTTTCTATATATAAATTGAACAATGCAACACAACATTACTGGGTTAAGATGCATCACATATGTGCATTAAGTCATTCTTTCATTTTATGATAGTTTATAATGTATGTTCAGATATGAATTTTTCCACTTGTTAAAATCTATATCTCGTGAAAAAATAGTTTCTGTTAACTCAGCGAAAATCTATTGAAAGTAATAAACTTACAATGTTTGTATACAGCTGTATAAGAACTATAATATAAAATGTCAAAGATTTTCTTATTTGATTTCTATTGTTAGGCTTAATAATATTTTCTTCCTTTAATTGAATTACAATGTTATTCTCAAACAACTTGAAATATCTATAAATATAATGCAAGGTTTTCTCATAAACTCACAAAATCTCATCCATGAATCTGGCATCTCAAATTAAAATACTCTGTTCCCATTTATACTCGTATAATTATATAGCTAAATATGACATTGAGCAGGAAACCAATAACCTGCAATAGTGTTTACAAATAGAAAAAAAGAAATGATAGAGCTATTTAAACTTTAAAACACCTTACTGCAAACCAATGTAAAGTTGTAACTGACCTTAACAAAATGTCCAAAATCAAAACAAAATGTTATGAGCAGCAGGACTGACTGTACCATCTGTGTCATAATGCTTATAATATACAATATATTCACAATATAATAAAAAATCAAATTAATATAAATTATCTAAAGAAAAAATAAAAGGCAGAAGAATGAAAAAAAAAACTCAATTGTATCAATTGACTAATATTGCATAAAAATATACATTGAAATATTGTATAACTTGAGAAATGACTTCATTTTCTCCCAAAATCCATTGCTTCAATTTTTTCTCTAGTTTTGACATAATTATATCAGACTACGCAAGAAAATGGAGTAAATTTACTTCAAATATCTATCCTTAAAATGAGACTGTCCTGGGTACTCAGGTGGATCTCAATATTATTTTTGCTTTATGACATACAACCTTTTTGTACTTGAAGCCAATATTTTAAGGCCAAACAACTTTAAGCAAAGAAAAAAGAAGGAAAACTGAAAAGAAAAGATCAACATTTCTTAATAGATTTTCTACTCTACTCTTCAATTTCTTTAACAAATTTACATGTATGACAATGTAACATTAAGTTCTAATGATAATTGATATAGCAGAATAAGAATATAAGCAGAAAGCGTGATTTACATACATGTAATATATATATATAAATTTAAAACATACATGTAATATATATATATAAATTTAAAACTATGTGGCAAAAGAAATTTTAGACCAGGAGAAAATGTATACATACCATCACTGACTATATACCCAGACTTCTGGCACAAGATTTCCTTGTAGCCCTCTCTGAAGGATGGACTTCTCCATGCATATATGATGGGATTACATCCAGAGTTCATGTACATGAAACAGTAGGCCTGAAAAAAAGAAAAAAGAGAAAGAATTTACACAGTTAAAATTATGTGTATTAACATGCTATCAATGTATATTTTAACATTTTAGTATTTATAGATTTGTTCAGGGTTTTCTAAGATGTTCATTCAAAAAATTGATACATACTATAACTAGATCTTTGTTAAATGTATTTTCTGCCTGGGCATTTAGTCACATCAACACCTGTACTATAGGTAACAGAGGTAAATCACATGTACCCCTAAACTGTGCATAATGTTTCAGGTAAGAGTATGCACAGCAGTAAGGCCTGACCTACCAACCATGAGCTTTTTATTTGGCATAAATTAAACATTAATTCAGTATAAACAGACAACAGATGCCCCGCCTTTCTTTATGATTCATGTTTGTTTGTTTTTTAAATAATTTCTATTTCTGTCAGCTACATCATTTTGTCATTTATATTTTGAATACATTTACATTAACAAATAAACTTTTCCAAGTTCAAAGCACAAGGCAAGTCTGAGTCTACCCCTTAAAATTTGAATCTAGGTGAAAGACGGTGACCTTTGACCTCTCACCAATAATGGGCCCTTTCCATTAAAGGTTAACCCTTCCATACAGTCTGACCGGAGACTCCATACTTCCAGTATCTCAATTTTTGTAATTTCTTAAACTTCTGAATGGACTATTCCAAATACAAACCTAGGGTAAATCTATTGCAGGTTAAAGAATTAAAGTGAATTGGTCTACGATGGGTTAATTTACCATATGTATTTCAAATATTAAAAAAAAAACAATAGAAAAGTACGGATATTCTTGTATATTGTTGATTGAAACACAAATGTTAATAAAGTGTAAGTGATTTAGTATGAACATCTATACGAGTTCTGGTATCAGCTTTATAAATATACATGTATGTAATATTAGTTCATGTATTTCACCACTTGCCAACAACTTCCAATCATACATGTAATTCTTTTGTGATTTGTAATCATGTCTAATATTTAATATTATCACCATCATTATCCATTATAGACCAATTCACTTTAAGGTATTAAAAGTTGCAATACTTACAGCAGGGTTTGCCCAGGCCAGGATTTTAGACTTGTCTTTTATAGTTGACACATAGGAAGAGTAAGCAAAATATGGTAGCCAGCATAACATGAAGCACGCCAACACAATAAATAACGTCTTGGTCACTTGGATCTGCTGCGCTAAAATTTGGTCAGTCTGTAGAGTGGAGTTCTTACGAAGACGTTTAGCGTGACTTCTGAACTCACAATACATGCGCGCATATGCAAATGTCATGATTGCTAGAGGTATGACTATATTAGTGCCCGTTATAATCACATGATGTAAATATTCTAGATTATTACGAGGATATTCGGGACCGCACTGCATGGCCCCTGGTTTTGAGACAACCTTGCTTAATACAAACATAGTTAAAATAGCACATACAATCGCCCACAACCAGGCAGCGGCACTCATTATCAGAATTTTCCAATGGTTGAGAATCCTGCTAAATGGTCGCGTAATTGAGACATACTTGTGAATACTGATATACATTAACGTATGAATTGATGTTATAAAACACACTGCATTCATAAACCCATTGATATTGCACATAACTTCACCGAATATCCATTCTTCACTAATCAAAGTTGTTAACGAAAACGGAGCTAATAAAATTCCGACCAGAAAATCAGCAATTGCTAGATTGACAAGAAACATATTTGTCCGCGTCTGCATTCCTTTGTGACGAAATACCACCACTATCACCATAAGGTTTCCAAACACAGCACACAGCATTGATATGGAAAGCCAGGTACCAAACACTGCTTTCTCCAAGGTATTCCATGGTCGAACACTGCCTGGTTCTGAGATATTATATACCTCTGTAATATTTGTATCGTTAAAGAGGACCATGGGCTTCACAGTTGAGGAAAAGTTGACAGTACTTGGAAACGTCATCTTCTGATTGTCTTGATACACAGTCTCTCAATCAAAGACCTTGTTGAGTTGTCATGGCAATGCAGTCTGAAAATATACATAAAGAATTACTAACCTGTACGAAAATTCTGAGCCAATTCTGTACAGACTCTGTACCAACTCTGGTTGTTATAGAGGCAGATTTTCATTTTTCTGTACAGAGTAGACACCGACACAGAATTGGACACAGAATTGGCCTAGGAAATAGTTGATTTTCTGTGCAGAATAAAACAGAATCAAAAATTTTTCTGTACAGAAAAATTTTCACACAGATATTTTGCTCTTAGTTATTTTTACAAGACAGAATTTCAATACTTAGAAAAAAATTGAGGCAGAATTTACATTGACACACAGAATGTTAAACACTTAGATAAATCTTGAGACAGTATTTACTTTCCTAGCCAGAATTTCACTAATGAGTTAATCTCAGAGTAGTAGATATTCTGTAATATCAGGTGTAACCCCCATGTAACCCCTGTTGGTCAATTCAAACCTTTCAGGCTGCCACGTGAGGTTTTATTACACAAAGTGTCTTCATATTGGCAGAGATTTTTGTTTTTGTTTAGTTTATTTTTTTAATGATAAGTTAACAAGTTAGTTGTTGTGCAGAGCAATCATGTAGAGACTTGAAATTCTCAGATTAAGGGGCCAAAGAAGAATTATGATGGAATTATAATCAAAACCAGAGGTAAGATTTTGCAATGTTTTCTTTGAATTTTTGGGTATACCTTCCATTATAGATAAAAGAAATTATTTATAAATCTTTTAATAGTCTATGGATTATCTATATTTAATAGTGAATTTTACTCTGATTTGAGACAGCTAGACCACTATGGTCTAATGAGTATAAATGCACTGATGTCAAAGCTGGGACAGTGAAATTATTAGTTCATAAATTGCTTTTTGATCAGTTAATAGGTCAAGATCTATGTTTTTTAGATTTCATATATTGCTCTTTTATGCAATAAATAATTTGGCTTTTTTGTTTTGCTATTCTATAATTTTAATTAATTTAGTTTATATTAATCAATTCAAAACTCCCAGTAATTGTGTTACAATTTTTAAGTTTTTTTTCAATTTACATGCACAAGCTTTGGTCAGGGATGATATATGTAAACAGTTTTGCTAGTCAGTGACTTTGATGTTACTGGTAGCCAAAAAAAAAAAACTTAGGTATATAGGGATACAATTGTAACTTTTTTATATACACATTGAAATATTTCACAAATTTTTGCATATCATTTAATAACAGAATGCACATTATTCAAATATTCTTTTTTACTCTTTAGATTATGTCAGAATGTGTGGTGCAATTAAAGAAAGAGACAAGCCATTTCCTGATGACAGCGCCCTCAAACAAGGCTATTACTCGTTGGATAGACTACTCCAGGAAAGAAATGAATATAAATTGTTAATTGAAATTTAATAAATAAGAAATGTTCAAAAGGAAAATTGATTTTGTTTTTAGCAAAAAAAAAAAGAAAAATCTGTACAGAATATTTTCTGTACAGAATTTTTTCTGTGCAGAATTCCCTTTCAGATTTTTTCTATGGACAGGGTTAATTCTGTACAGAATATGAAGAAGCCCAGATTTTTTTCTGCCCAGATTTTTTTTCTGCCCAGATTTTTTTTTTTCTGCCCAGATTTTTTTCTGCCAGAAAATATTCGGCTTAATTTAAATATTTCCCAGAAAAAAATCTGTTACAGATTTTGTTCTTTATCCTTATTGCTTAAATCTATTAATAGAATTCTGGTTCAACTTTGTTTCATTTAACCAGATTTTTTTCTGTACAGACTCTGTACAGAGTTTTCTAAATAAAGTCTGTACAGATTCTGTCTGCATTCTGCCCAGACTTTTTCGTACAGGAAGTAACATGCTTATAATCTTTTTCATTTGATAAACTAGTAATCATTTACCTTAAGCTGCAACATTCAAATAATCAGTCAAAATACACTGCTCACCAGACACCCCCATCCCAGCTATTGTTGATAAGAAGTCATTTCAAGTTTTTTCTATTCTTTATCTCTGGTGGCAAGTTTGTTAAGGTGAGTATTGGAACAATTTTAGTAATGTACAAACTTAAGATAATTTCTGTGCAGTTTCATAAAAATCTGTCAAGTGAATTCCAAGATTTCATTTAAAACTAAGTGGCAGCCATGTTAGTCAACAGATTAGAATGATTTGAGCAATTTTTGTTCAGGACTACCTTAATAATAATTCCTTTAAAGGTTCATAAAAATCTCAAAGGTTTTTATTTTTTCAGATATGTTTTTTTAAGTAAAAACGATAAAGCCTGACACCAGACAATAGCTGATTGTGATTGTGCTCAGGTGAGTCAAAAAGTCTTCAACTGAAGTGACACTGAAAACAATGATCCTTACACATATTCAATACAATTATCTAACTATGGCATACACCAGGGGCCTTAACACACAGATAAATTACTGTTTTACAATTGTACAGGTAGATTCATTTACTAAATAAAGATACAACAAAACCCAATCCAATATCAACCAATAATTCTAAATCTCCTATGAATAAAAATACACTGGAAATAAAAGAGAATTTAAATAACACTGTTAGATAGTTAATAAAAGGTTTTAATGGCAATGGAGCCCAAATCTGCAGGGAATTATAACCTAATTTTTATGTGACCAAATTTCTCTTAAAAGGTTATCAGTGGAATAATAAACAGAAACAAGTGCAATGGAAATAAAAACTGTTTGGTTGAAAAATATCATGAATTCTTGATTTATGACTATGTACAGTACCATATGAAAACAAATGAATCAAATCTACAATGTCTACAGTTTTTTTTTCATTTCATGACCTATTTTTCAACAAAAAATTATCCAAATTATTAAAAAAAAAACAAAACAAAAAACATACAGTAAAAAACTCTACTGTTTATTTCTTTTATGACCTATCCAAACTAGATGACACAAATTAACTATACTTATGTATTTGATTTAATTGAAGCAAATATAAATCTGGATAAGATTCAAGAAAATTGATCTTATTATTCATGACCATTTCTGTTTTACCACAGCTTTTGTAATATTTGATCAGATTAGTTATTAAATTTGGCTTTAGATGAGCTAATGAGGACCACTATGGTGCCAATCAGGTCAGGACTTAAACAAACAATGACAACATGGAAAATCTATACATCACAGGTAAATTATGATACAAACAAACACAACTTCTTCCTTTCTTAATCATCATTAACAAAAAAACTTTCTTTAGAACAATCTTAAATTATTCATGATACTTTCTCAATAAATTAATGATGAAGTGAAACAAAGAAAGACTCAGTGCAGTACATAATATCCATTCTCTGTTTTACTCTTATTTTTTTGCCTCTCAAAACAGAACATTTCTGAAATAGCATCATTCCACTTAAATTAAGAGCTGTAACTCACGAGTTATGAACAAGTTATTGACAACATTAAATGAAACTGGCATAATGAATAAAGTGTTTTTGCAGGAAAACCCGGTATTTGTTCCAGTTTCATATCCTCAAGGCTAATATTTATAATTTATAAAGTATAGATGAAATTCGTTCTCCTCGTCTCTATGGAGACAAACATTACACAATTATTAACTCAAACTATATTAGCATTTTTTGTTCTTCAGTTCCTCAAGTTTAAATGCAAAATTTATGTGCTGATACACAGTGCTTTGATATTAACTGCCTATCTTATATTTGATAACACTTGTATCCAATTGTTTATGGACAAATAACAATCCTATTATTTCAAGGACATGCTTGTTGAGATCTGGTGATTTGTAACATAGCATTTCCTCGTCAAAATGCTTTTAGAAAATTAATTATAAAAAAAACATTAATAATTTCAATAATTTCAATATTCATAAATAACTTACATTTTTAATAATCATTAAAAGAATTTCATTGTTGTATAAATATTTTGATAAAAATTACTTTTAGATTCTTAACTGATAAATTTAACAACTCTAATATAAACATGTCATAGTGGTCAATAAGGAAATATATTATCACCTTTTGATTTTAATACTTTATGGCTTAATTCTCAATTTCCTAGTCTTTTATCAAACAAGCCATACTTGATTATCATTTTGACATTTATTGCTAATATTGCTTTAGGCTTAAAACACTATGACAGCTCTTTCTTAATTTATATTGTTGCTTTTTTATATTTTAAATTAGTCTTATCTTGAAACTGGAACTTACAACATCTAAGAGTCTTATTTTAATTCCGGAACTGAGAACATCTAAAAGTCTTATAATAGAATTTCGGACATATAACATCAAGTCTTAACTTAAGAAAATAAATAAGTAAAATTAACTTAAGCAAAATTCAGGTGCTAGCTGTGAAAATATATGTGTGGACTATATGATTATTTTGTATTTGAGAACTTTCAATGGGCTATAAAGAAATAAATGAAATAACATCATACTGGACTTTTGAGTTATAAAATAAGTCATCATAACAAAGAGGATACTGGATAATAATAATAATAGTATCCCACACACACCTAACCAACCGAGGGTTTCCGTGTAGGGCGCTCACTACGCCAGCGAGTATTCCCCAAACGACCCCAAAGCGAAGGCCCTGCCGGTGACCCTTGGCTACAGATTTTGGCGGAGAATACCGAAGGTAGAAGATCCTGCCAAGACATGGAAAGAGTAGAAATAACGAGAAAAGAAAAATGGACTTAAAGTAAATATAGTAAGTGGGAAATATTAGAAAAAGGAAGATTGACACAAGCAGGAAATTGGAAAATACCATCATTAAAAATTATAAAAGAATCTTATACTGAAGGGAACTTTTAAAGCAATTTCAAAATTACCAAACAGAAGTGGGAAAATTATGTCAAATCAACTATTGAAGGAAAATAAAACCAAAACTAAGAGGAAACCAAACAAAGAACCAAGGAGGGAACCAAGAAGAACCATAGATCAACAAGGAACATTTTCGTAGAAAATCAAATCAAGAAAGAAAATTTTTTTTTTGAAGTTGGTAAGTGAAATTTTTAACATTCAGTGCTATATTATATGTTATAT